TGAGAGCACGGGGACGCGAGGCTCTGCTTTCTCCTAATAGTGGAAGGGCGGGCAGGTGATGGGGACTCCAGGGGTGGCGGCTGCCAAGTTGCACCCCATGTTGTAGCTGGGGCTGTGTGCATGACCCCAAACCTCTCATTTCTGCTGGTTTTTTGTCCGTCTCCTTTCTCCTGGCGCAGGGTGAAGCAGAAGAGACGGGAACCCAGTCCCCTCTTGACACCCCGAAACGCAGGAGAGTTTCTTGCCAGTCCCCAGCTGCATCCCCCGCGGTACTGAGCCGGCCACTCTCATGCCTGCCGCTGACCCCATCCCGCCCCCTGAGGAGGTGGCTTTGCTGGAGCTGGGGAAGGTGGCCCTGGCTGCCCCGCTGGACAAGGTACCACCAGCCCCGGATGAACACCCGGGGGACCCTGATGCCACCCTGCCATGGGACCGGTGCCAGCACAGTGCCCAGGGCCAGTCAGAGCCCACCGAGACGAAGAGGCGCTCAAGTCCTGAAGGGGGCCACGAAGATCCCGAGGAGGCCGCTCTCACCTACCCCCCGGCTGAGGCCAAAGACGAGGAAGCCCCCGGGCTGCCCGTGACGGCGGCTCATGTCTTTGTGCCCATCGACCCACAGTGCATCGAGCGGACACCCGGCAAGCAGAAGCGGCAACCCGCCCCATGGCCCCGGGAGGAGGGCAAGGGGGACTATGTCCCCCCCAGCCACAGCCCCGACAGCCTCCGCCAGAAGCAGGTCTTCCTTCCCATCGGCCCCTCGCACTACAGGGACCCACTGGGCTTTGAGGGGCGAGTGGCCAAGCCACCGACCGAGGGGCCACGGTGCCCATGTGCCAGGGACTGCAGCCCCGGCAACCTCAAGGCCGTGGCCTCGGTGGTGGGGGCCCTGCTCCTGTGCCCCTGCCTCGTCTACGGGGCCTATGTCTTCCTGCCTTTTGACGCCCCGCTGCTGCCCACCATCGGCGCCCGCCTGGTCTACACACTCCGCTGTGCCGCCTTTGCCACGTTCCCCATCGTTCTGGGTGAGCCATGGGGTTGGCATGCGAAGCCCTTCGCCCCCATCGCTGGGCTGCATTAGCCCCAGGGGAGTGGGGGCTGTGGGGGGTGGCGAGGAGAGCCGGGGCTGAGCTCTTTGCAGCTCCATTGCTCCCACCAGGAGCAGCAGACTGAGCTTTCCTACCCTCTTCCCACCCCGTTGCGTCTCCCTCTGGTCCTCCCCCAGCCCTCGGGCCCCAATGCAGTTTCACCGCGCGCCTGCTCAGCCCCTCTCTCTGCCCCCCCAGGGATGATCGTCAGCGGCATCTCCCGCCTCTGCTCCTCTGCACTGGAGCCCTTCGGGGAGCTGCAGCGGGAGGTGGAGATCCACCGCACCTACGTCTCCCAGTCAGTCCATCTCTTCATCCTCTACTTCTTCAACATGGCTGTGCTGGCCACCTACCTCCCACAGGAGGCCCTCAAGCTCATCCCCCTGCTCACAGGGCTTTTTGCCATCTCCCGGTAAGTGGCTCCTTCACGCTACCCGGGCTGCAGCGGCGCCCAGGGTGCGAACGGGGGTCTGTCAGGGCTTGCAAACACCGTGACTTGGTGCAAACTCCCGCTCTGGCAGCGCCTCATCTGGCCAACGACAGCCAGGAAAGCTGGCACAGGGGAGGGGTTGCTCCATCCCGCATCCCACTTCCCGCCGCGGCCGTGCCTGGCAAACCCTCGCTGGGGTCAGAACCCCTGAGCGAAGCCGGGTGCCGGTCCCAAGACGCCGCCCTTGCTGAGCCCACACCTCTCTGCCCTCTCCAGGTTGATTTACTGGCTGTCGTACGCCATCGGGCGCTCCTTCCGTGCCTTTGGCTTCAGCATGACGTTCCTGCCCCTCCTGGCCATGCTACTCTGGAACCTTTACAGCATGTTCGTCCTGGAGCCCGAAAACCTCCTTGCTGTGGCAGCGCCACAGCCCGAGGACCGCTCCAAGGACAGCGGAGCCAAACTCCGGTACTGGGGGTGAGAGAGACTCTGGGAAGATGGGGTGCCCGGACCCTGCGGTGCAGGGGGGGGTTGAACCCTCCTCGCTGCCCTGCCTTGTGAGCCCCGAAGGTGGAGGGGCGTAGGCAGATCTGGCCGGGCCCCTGCTCCCTGCCCAGACCCAGCAAGGTTTTGCTGGGCACCTGGGGCTGACGGAGCCAAGCTGTAAAACCCTCCGTACTGGGAGTTTCCTGCAGGAGGGCGAACAGGGCCTGGAGCAAGACCCCGCGAGCCCTGTTCCATGAGGACGGGTCGGGGTGGGATTTACCTAACCTCCTGCCGGAACTGCCTTTGCCTAATAAAGCCCTTCAACAAATGGCTCTGTGGCTGGTTTGGGGAGGGGGGGTTAAATCACCCTAGGAATTGCTGCTGCCAGGACTTGTAGCTTTGCCCGCGGGACGCCGTCATCCAGCCCCAAAATGATGTTCCCAAGAGGGGAAAAAAAAATGATGTTTCCCCAAACTGTCCACCTTCCAGTGCTGCAACAGCACCCCAGCCCTGCATCCTGCTCCTGGGTCCCCGCATGGTGGTGTGGCCCGTCCTGCCCAGCTTGTCCCTCCTCCTCTTCCTCCCGGCAGAGATTCGGCACCCGGTTCACAAACCCGTTGGCCGGGTAGGAGGGAGGGAGCCCCGCCCCAAGGAGGGATGCGGGGAGAAGCTGGGATGGGCGAGATGGCACCAGGCTCGCCGCTGCGTAGGGCTGGGGACGGCCGATCCCCTCCAGGACAGGCACCCAGCCTGCACCCCTCAGGGCACCGGGCCCCCACCTTGGAGTCCTTTGCAGACATGAAGGGACCCCAGGGAGTCCAGCCCCATGCAAGTCTGATTGTCTCAGTTCTCTGATCCTCAGGCATAACCCAAACCAGTTAAAAATCCACCAAATAGAATCATAGAATCATTAAGGTTGGAAGAGACCTCCAAGATCATCGAGTCCAACCGTCACCCCAACACCCCCATGCCCACTAAACCATGTCCCTCAGCGCCTCATCTACCCGTCTTTTAAATACTTCCAGGGATGGTGACTCAACCACTTCCCTGGGCAGCCTGGTCCAATGTTTAACCACTCTTTCAGTAAAGACATTTTTCCTCACGTCCAATCTAAACCTCCCCTGGCACAACTTGAGGCCGTTTCCTCTCATCCTATCGCTTGTTACTTGGGAGAAGAGACCGACACCCCCCTCGCTACAACCTCCTTTTAGGTAGTTGTAGAGAGCAATGAGGTCTCCCCTCAGCCTCCTTTTCTCCAGGCTAAACAACCCCAGCTCCCTCAGCCGCTCCTCATAAGACTTGTTCTCCAGACCCCTCACCAGCCTCGTTGCCCTTCTCTGGACACGCTCCAGCACCTCGACGTCCTTCTGGTAGTGAGGGGCCCAAAACTGAACACAGTATTCGAGGTGCGGCCTCACCAGGGCCGAGTACAGGGGCACGATCACTTCCCTGCTCCTGCTGGCCACACTAGTTCTGATACAGGCCAGGATGCCCTTGGCCTTCTTGGCCGCCTGGGCACACTGCCGGCTCATGTTCAGCCGGCTGTCGACCAGCACCCCCAGGTCCTTTTCCGCCAGGCAGCTTTCCAGCCACTCTTCCCCAAGCCTGTAGCGCTGCATGGGGTTGTTGTGGCCGAAGTGCAGGACCCGGCACTTGGCCTTGTTGAATCTCATCCAGTTGGCCTCGGCCCCTCGACCCAGCCTGTCCAGGTCCCTCTGCAGAGCCTTCCTACCCTCGAGCAGATCAACACTGCCGCCCAACTGGGTGTCGTCTGCAAACTGACTGAGGGTGCACTCGATCCCCTCGTCCAGATCATTGATAAATAAAGGGAAAGCCCCTCCGTCCCTGGATCTGCCAAATGTTGGGCTTGTCCCGCCTCCCGTGCCCGAATGCTGTATCGTGGGGGCAGTTCACCCCCTGCAGCCCAGCCGAGTCAGAGAACGGGAACAGTCTTAACTCTTTCAAATGCGCTTCTGGGCAGGGATATGGCCCACAGCCTGGGCTCACGCTGACCCCGCGGCTCACAGGCAAAACCACCCCAGAGCGCCGCATGCTGCTGCGGGGCGTGAGGCGACCCGGGGGGGCAGGGAGCCTCCCTCCTCTCCGAGGCGTGTTTTCGTACCTTGACTCCCGCTGAGCTCCAGCACCCTGTAATTCCTGCGAGGCCCGAGAGCTGCTCTCCTTGCGCTCGCCCACAGTGCAGTGTTTCCACAGGAAACTGCTCTTAGAAACCCACTTTATTTGGTCAAAGACAAGTCAGTGACAGAGAACATGAAAACCCAGCACACCCCCCTGTGATGTGGCACCTCTGCAAACACCGAGCGGCCACAGACCACGCTTGCCCCGTGGCTTCAAGCACCTGAAGAGCACCTCTGAGCCAGCCCTGCGGCACCAGTGGCTGCAGCTGACTGAGGGCAAGGCTAGATGAGCCCTTTTTGGGCTGACAGGACGTACCTGAGCTCAAGCAGCTGCTGCAAAGCAGCACTGGGTTTCCCTCTTGCACCAGCAGCCCCCGCCGAGGCCAGCGCAGCAGAAAGTGCCTGTTGGGCATTGAGGAGTCCCCTGAGTCCCAGGTGGGTTGAGGGGGGCTCTTCTGGGATGCCCCCAGCACGGCGAGAAGCAGCAAGGCACCCTGTTCGCTGGCGGGAGCGGCACCGGTCCCCAGCCCTGTCCTCCAGCCCTGCTCCTGGGTTGGAGCCACCCAAGCAACCCTGGGACGCTCTGAC